ACAAACTAACGGTAGTAAATCTGGAGATTTAGAGGAACACTTAATAGTGTTGAAGTTGAATTTGTTGTACAGATTAAAGCGGATGATTTACAGCATAGTAAAGAAATCACCTTATAGAAAGAGAATGAAAATCTCTACAAAATCATATTTTGAATAGACTCGCAGATGATCTGTATGATAATTACAGTTGATGTGATACTGCAAAACAAGATTGAAAGACTCATAAAAAGAAGTATGACGTAGAAGCTGGAGCAAAGAAGTATGTTGTTAGCCGCTACTTCAAGTATCAAATGCAAAGATGTAAGGTCGATGGAGGCTCAATATTACGAACTTCAAAAGATTGCTTAAAAGATCATCACAAAAGGTATGTGTTTAAATGAACAATTTCAAATTGGTTTTATTATTGACAAACTACCCCACAGTTTGAATGTTTAAAAAACAAAAAAGGGAATCTTAGAGACAATATCAAAAGAAAAAGTCTTGGTTGTTTCAAACAACAAAAAGAAATTCGGTGTAGTTCTGAAGCCATTTGGAAAATGATTAAAGAATCAGAACCACAATATTGCGAACCGAATTAAGAATGGGAATCCTTCTATGATCCCAATAGCTCCAACTAGGCAACAACCACCACCTAAAAGAAATGACGTTGGTTTCTATTTGTTTTAACTATGGAAAATCAAGTCATATGACTAAGAAATGTCGAAGTAAGGTTGAACTTGGTGTTGTCCCTAATGCACAGGTCAACCTGACTAATCGGCAATTTATTGCTATGGTCATTTAAATCAACATGGTTGATAGATATATTAGTTGGTGGATAGACACCTGTATCTCTCGTTGTGTCTGTTATGATCGTGTTATGTTTAAACATACACGAATACTAAAGATAAGAAAGTGTTGTTGGGAGATGGTCAGACCATGAATGTTGCTGGAATTATAGATATGGAGCTAAATTTCACCTTCAAAAAGACTTTAATCTTAAGGAACTTTATGCATGTTCCTAAGATTAGAAAGAATATTGTTTCTGGTTTTCTTTTAAATAAGATAGGGTTTAGTCAGTCTATTGGGGTAGATTTGTACGCCATTACGAAGAATGAAGTTTATATGTTTAAATTTTTTGTAAAGAATTTGAAAAATGATATAATAAGAATTTGCAGTGATAGATAAACTGTATGATTCTAGTTTATTAATGAATTTTATACATGGAATTGTACATGAAACGACTGCATCATACTATCTTGTAATGAATGGTAAAACAGAAAGAAAGAATAGAACTTTTACTGAACATGTTGTTGCAATTATGATAAATTCTGATGCTGCACCTCACTGGTGGGGGAAATTTTATTGACTGTTTGCTATGTCCTGAATAGAGTCCCCAAGTCAAAATGTGAGATCTCTCCTTATGAGATGTTAAATAAAAGATAACCAAACTTGTCTTATTTGAGAACTTGTGGTTGTCTGACTTATGTCAGAATTCTAGATCCGAAACGAGTTAAACTCGTTAGTAGAGCATATGAATGTGTTTTCATTCGGTATGCAACAAACAATAAAGCATATAGGTTTTATGACCTAAAGGCAAAAGTGATCATAGAATCAACTGATGTTGAATTCTATGAAGATAAATTTCCTTTCAAATTGAGAAATAGTGGGGGCACACAATCGAGTCACATTCATGTGATAAGAAGCACAGAAAGCAACGACAATGTAGAAACAGAACTTCAACGAAGTAAACGAGTAAGAGTTGCTAAAGACTATAGGCCTGATTATGCGGCTTATAATGTAGAAGAAGATCCAATGAATCTTTAAGAAGCCTTGTCATCTCTGGATGTTTAGTTATGGCAAGAAGCTATCAATGATGAGATATAATCTCTAGAATCTAACAAGACCTGACACTTAGTAGACTTGCCTCTTGGTTGCAAGCCAATCAGTTGTAAATGGGTTTTGAAACTAAAACCTGATGGAACTATTGATAAATACAAGGTTTGCCTTATTGCCAAGGGTTTTAGACAAAGAGAAAATATAGATTTCTTCGACACCTTTTCTCCTGTCACTAGAATTACATCCATTAGGGTACTTATTTCAATAGCTACTATTTATAACTTAATAGTACACCAAATGGATGTTAAAACAACTTTTTAAACGGTGACGTAGAAGAAGAAATCTATATAAAACAACCGGGAGGGTTTGTGATCTATGGATAAGAAAACAAGGTTTGTAAGTTAGATAAGTCTTTGTATGGGCTAAAACAAGCTCCAAAGCAATGACATGTAAAGTTTGATAACTTAATGATATCGAATGTGTACAAAGTGAATGAAAGTGACAAATACGTTTATTACAAATTTGAGAATTGTATTTGCACTATCATATGTCTATATGTAGACGATCTACTCATATTTGGATCAAACATTCAGGCTATTAATGATATGAAATCATTGTTGTGCAACAACTTTGATATGAAAGACCTCGGAGAAGTGAGTGTGATTCTTGGTATCAAGATCACAAAATCCGAGCAAGGAATTTCTTTGGATCAATCACAATATGTGAAAAAGATCTTAAAGAAATATAATTACTTTGACAGTAAACCTGTGAGCACACCAAATGATCCAAGCGTGAAGCTGTTTAAGAACACTGGTGAAAGTGTTAGACAAACAGAACATACGAGCATCATTGGAAGTCTTAGGTATTCCATTGATTGTACTAAACCTGACATTGCATATGTTGTAGGGATTGTTGTGCGGGTTTACTAGTAGACCGAGTAATGAACATTGACAAGCTATTGAGCGAGTCATACGGTACCTTAAAAGGACCGTGAATCTCGGTTTACATTAACAGAGATTTCCTGTTGTACCTAAAGGATACAATGATGCAGATTGGAATACCTTATCAAATGATTCCAAAGCAACTAGTGGCTATGTATTCAACATAGCTAGAGGAGTTGTATCTTGGAAATCAAAGAAACATACTATCTTGAGAATATAGCATTAGCGACTGCTAGTGAAGAAGCAAGTTGGTTAAGATGCTTGCTAACTGAGATTCCCTTATGGAAAAAAACATATTTCAGTTATGTTGATCCACTGCGATAGTACCGCGGCTATTGCAAAAATTGAGAACCGTTATTATAATGGTAAAAGACGTCAAATAAGAAGAAAACACATCACTGTTAGAGATTGTATCTCTAAAGGAGCTGTAAGAGTGGATCATGTACGCACTGATGAAAATTTAACAGATCCTTTGACGAAAGGATTAGCTAGAGAGAAAGTCTATAATACATCATATAAGATGGGACTAATGCCTATAGGAAAATGAGTTGCTCATGATGGTAACCCGACCTAAATGACTGGAGATCCCAAGAAATAGGTTCAATGAGTAATAACAAGTTATGAGTAATATGAGATGATCATGCAAGTAAAGCATGAATCCTGAAGTAGTAAGAGGATGAGATAATAGAAACTCTTAATGAGATCTATACTCTGTATGAGGGAGTACCTAGGCTACAGGAGTACTCTTGATAGACTCACCTATGTGATTGTGGAACTTAGGCCGGTTCATATGGAATTTCGAGGCAGAATTCCTAGAGCCTTCATTAAACTGAGATACACGTGCAGGGCCATTAAAGCACGGGTTATTAGAATACACCTTAAGAAAAGGTTGTGTGCGGGTTTGATGTCTGAGATAGAGTTCAAGACATTTGTGTCACTCTTGTTGAATTGGAATCCTACTTGCTATGCAAAGGTTCAAGTCGTAGACACCTTTGTTTATGCACAATCTTAGAAACGTTTGACGTTACTTCTAAAATCAATTTTTTAAATTCAAGTGGGAGATTGTTGGAACATGTCCATGTTTCAATATGTTGAATTTAAAAATTTCTCAAGTCCCACATTGTTAGAATATTTTTTTGGTTGAAAAAACCATTTTGTCCCACATTGCTCATGTGAGAAATATTAACTATCCTACTTCACTATATAAGGAGTGCATATGTTTCATTCCAAAACAAACCAAAAACTACTTTATTAGTTTTTCCTTCCTCATTCTCATAACTCTGCGTCTCTCGAATTGTCGAAACGCCATCTTCCTCCCCTTTCTTCCTACTCGTTGAATTTTCCGAGTATTTTTCTTGAATTCTCTTTAGAGAATTATGTTAATTTCTCCTCATTTGAGTTGAGAAATTTTCAAGTTTAATCTTTTGAATTCTCTTTGGAGAATTATTTGAATTTCTCTTTGTTAGAGAAATTATTATGAGTGGTCAAATGACCATTATTATATTCTCTTTGGAGAATTATTTGAGTTTCTTTTTGTTTAAAAAATTATTATGACTAGTCTTTGTACCAGATACTACGAGTGGTGTTGATACCATATTTGAATAGTCTTGTACCATCAGATGGTGTATTTCTAGACCGATTATCTATCATGCAAGTAATAATCGTACAGTATAGAACTGAGCTGTTTTATCCTGGAGGCGGCGCGGTAGTTTGGCTGCTTTGCATAATTTTGAGCAGTGCCGCGAAACGTTTTAAAGAGAGCGACCTAGTCCGCGACTCAACCTGGTAATTTCTTAGGTGACAAATATTTTAAAATCCAAAATTCAACAATGATTTGATAATTGTTAAGAGAGATTAAATGAATAATGTGAGAAATACATTCCATCAATGAATATTATTTTATTTTTTATTCAATTTCAAAAATTTCCAAAAGTTTTAAACCTCTGTAATAAAATCCACACAATCAGATTGAATCGAATAAGCAGCGGTTTTCATAACTCTTGCAAAACAATTTGCAGGGTTTAAAATTTCCCATAAATTGGTTTAAAACCCCAATCAAGCGCGTTTTTTAGTGAAAACCAACTAAACAAAATTTCAATTAATTTCCAACTTATCACCACTTCATTTTTTCAAGGCAGGTGGGCAGACAACCAACTAAAAGTATTCTCCTAAAAGGTTATTTCTGTATTATATCATGATTTCTATATCTATTTTTAAATTCCAACAACACATGCCAATCATTGTTTACAAACTAGGTGAATCAACAGCAAACTTCACAGCTGACCCAAGCTCATCCCAATTATCAAGTGATAATAGCTCATTTGCAGCTTGCTGAATCCAAAAGTTTGAAGATGGTATTAAAATTTGTTGAGGTTGCTGTGCAACTGAAGAGAATTGATTCCTTTGACCACTACTTGTATAATTATTTACTGGTAACACTAATTTATCCTGGTTATGGTGATCTTCATGGCTTGGACCAAAATTGATGTATGTTTGTTGATTTAGCATGAACTCCATACTCATTCTATTGCTCTTGTCATAAACAGCCTCACACTTGGTAGCTAATGGTTTCACCTCTGCCATTTGTTGTTTCCTTTGTGATACATTTCTTTTGAAAATTCTACACAATGTCCAAATTTCCTGCATGTCATATACAAAATCATTAGGGCATGTTTGTTTTATATCATGCATAATCCAATCATTAGAACCTCTGGTAAATCTTACTTACTGCTTCATGAGAAACATCATTATCATTTTTAGCATGAGCAAGATTTGTGTTGGTGGTAATATTAGACGGAAGACGAAACTCGTGCATCATCCAATCGGTTTTGGTGCCTTTACCAGCATTACCACGGTAGTAAACAAGTGTTTTTTTGAGTCCAACACAGTCATTACCTTCTCCTCCATTTGAGTATATTGATTTGTCTATTCCAGTTGCTTTCCAGAATCCAGAGCCAGTTACTCTATTTGGCCTAATACTGTTCCTATATTTTCTTCCTCTTTTGCAAAAGAAGTAACCTTCCTTTTCTGCTCCATGTACACTCGATTCTGCATAAAACATATATGTATGCAAATGTTACTCTATGCTTTTACTTCTTGCATGTGATAATTTGATAAAAAGCCTAATCTTGTTTTTTCAATAGTTATTCCATCTTGTATGAAATAAACTAATCTTTAAAAATTTTAGTCAATAAATATGAAAAAGAAAAAAATAATAAAGGTGCTATAATTAGAGTGAATACATACTTGGAAGATCCCAAGGATCATATTTGTAGATATCAACTTGTTTGATGAGATCGACAGAAATAGGTTTTTTGTCGAGTTTTCTTCGAAGATAAAAAGTAACAAGTTCTTGATCAGTAGGATGGAATCTAAATCCAGGAAGTGGAAGATCATCATCATCTTGTAAATGTTGATTATTCATCTTGAAACTCTCGTTAACACCCATCTTTTTTCTCACTCTATGTGTGTTTATGTTTTCTTTTTTTGCCTTTTTTGTATGGATATATATAAAGGTGGTAGATGAATTTCAATGAAAGGGAGAGAAACTTCTTTTGAATAAACAATGTGAAGAGGGGTCGTATGATATGGATGAAATAATTTTGATGTTGGTCAAGTCATGTGGTTTGACTTGTAGCATTTATGTTGTAGGGTTAGCTGGACTTATTCTATTGTTATAATTCAATAAATATATTATTTAGGAATTAAATATAAATACAAATATACAATAGTAAAAAATGCTTAGAAAGGTTGAACTATTAGTCACAAAACAAGAAAATAAAGGTTGAATTATTCCATTCAAATATCTTTCTTGGTTTTGCTTTAAAAGCTACTCCTATTTATTGCTCTATGATTGGGTTGAACCAAAAATCTTTTAGACCTGTTTAATATACTGAATCTTCTTTTATAAATGTACATACCAGCCTCTAAAAAAGTTATATGTGTAAAGAATTATTTTAGATATATATAGAATATAAGGGGCATTCATTCAACTCAAAACAACATGAGAAATATAAATGAAGAGTCAAATCTAAAGAGAATTTTTTTAGATGTAATATAATATATCTACATTTTTTTTGATGGTGTAGTTGGTTTGATTCTAGCTCAATCTTTTAATGCTAATGCGGAATTTTTTTTTTGGAATAATCATGTATTAAAAAAAATCGTAAATAATTAAGTTTCAGAAAAAATTACGTAAATAACTATGTTTCAGAAAATTCCCTAAGAGAGGAGCCATCTCACTTGGCGCCTACACCTAAGTTTTAAGGGGAGGCGCCATCTCACTTGGCGCCTAGGTGTTAAGGGATTGCCCTAAGCCAAGTGAGATGGCGCCTTAGTGCAATTGGAAGGCAAATTTTCGCGTTTTTTTTTTCAATGCGGTGCGTTACGTATTCGATATAGAATCAACAAAATTGACTTTTTATTTACAAAATACGATTACACACATAACTATTACATAAAAAAAACAGATTAATCAGTGGTCCCCCAGAACCCGGTAATGTCCTCCAGTTCCGCATCCCCGTCCTCGTCTTTCCCGTGCTGGGTTTCGTCGCGTTTCCTGTTGTGGCAGGGTCGATGGCCCAGCGAAGTCAATGTGTTCCGAATCCATGAAATCAGTCAGATCTCCATACCTAAAATATCCACTTTGGTACAGTCGGTTACCCATACCCTCAAAGTTTGGTCGTGTTGGTGGTGGGTGGGGTTCCATGGTTGGTCTGTAGCACTGGTCGTCTGAGTACGGGGGATAGAAAGGAAATGGATCTTGGGGTGTTTGGTATTGAGGATGTTGGATGGTTTGGTGATGTTGTGGTTGATGGTAAGTTGGGTCGGTTGGTTCATAATCTTCGGACAATCCCAAATCAGGGCTAAGGTTGGATGTTGAGGGGCCCATATTGGGATATGCAGAAGACTGAAATTATATGTGGGGTATGCGGGTGTGTTGGTATTGTGATTGAAATTGTGGTTAGGTGTGAGGCATATGGGGGTATTGGTATTGAGGTGGTGATTATGGTTGGTTGTGGGGCATGTGGGTGTAATTGTATTGTGGTGGTGACTGTGGTTGGGTGTTTGTGGTTCTGTTTCATCGGGGGGTTGGTGGGAGGTTGATGTGTGTTGGGTTTGTTGTTGGGGAAATGAGGGTTGTGCCCATTGTGTTCTTGGTTCAACCAAATACCTTGGATGAGACACGTGCATTTCAGGGGTACTAACCGATTTGTACCAAGATAAATATTGATCTGTATGTCGCATATTACCATGGTTGAGGAAAACTGGGAATTACAAGACATGTCGGTGACGCCTCTGCCACATCTTACACCATTCTGGAGCAAAGTCTTTCCAGTTGGTAAGACCCCATTGGGCGTCGACCCTTTTGAGATGCCACGGGGACAAACAAGTCGGATCGCTGGGTATCTCTTGATGCATTCCAAACTGCATCTTTACACGGTCGCTGTGGTGCATCTCCAAAATATTGAACCGTATGATTGTAGTCTTTGCGCTCCAAATTGCTGCATCCTCGGGGTTTGGTTCATGGCCCAAACCCAAATATGGTCTCCAGACAAACTGCAAATAAAATTAAATCAGGTTAATGAAAACGTAATATATAAATAATTTAAAAGTAGAAAAGTTGAAAGGTACAACGTACATCATCCGGGTCAAGGTGATCCAATAGATTGTAGTATAATGCGACATTAAATCTTGGATTCTTGCCGTAATCCATACCCCTCACACAATACCTAAAGGAAATGAAAAATATTTTATTTTTATCATATATTTGGTGAAGAGATGAGTAGTAATAAATGATATAACTTGATGACTTACTTTGTTGCGTATGGGAAAACGAATATGTTGTTGTTGATGGGGTTTAGGGACTCCATCCTCCACCAACCCCAGGCTTGAAGTAAAAAGTGAAGCCATAAAATATACATTTTTCCTTGATTGCATTTTTACACAAGGAACTGTATAGATGAGCTAAAACATCAGAACCCCAACTATACTTTCTAGTTTTTTCGAAGTCTCTAAGTAAATTTAAATACATAAAATTTACACTATTTCCCGTACTTTCGGGAAATAAAAAGGTTCCAAATAGTATCATTATATAAGTTCTAGCTTTTATTACCTTAGCTAGCTCGGAGGAATTTTCGTTCAATTCCAGAGTCCCATAATGATTTTTTAGCTCAGTTAGTAGTATACCCTGACCTCTCGCACCACCACCTTCAACCATATCCCTGCCCAACAATTCTTCACACAGAGAATTGGGTTGTTGAACCGACCCGTTAACCGCCTTACCGTCGACAGGGAGACCCAATAACATGTACACGTCCTCTAGTGTGACGGTACATTCACCTATTGGTAGATGAAATGTATGAGTCTCTGGTCTCCACCTTTCCAACAATGCAAGTATGAACTTTGAATCAATTGTGCAGTTGGAGATCTTTATAACGTTTCTGAAACCTGCGTAATCGAGATATGGTACGATCAACGGGTCGGGAGCAAGGTAGTTGTGTGACCGGATTCTGAATCTTTTAGAATCCTAAGTTAATAATGTAAAAGGTGTAAGAGTAGGTAAGTAAGATGAACAAAGCATTACTAAAAGTATGAAAAATGTATAAGTATAAAAGAAACGTACAAATGCTGCAATGTTGTCCCTTGTGCCTCTGTGAGAATCGCCCATTGTGAGAAGAGCCATTGTTGAAAATGCCTGAGATTATGAAAGAGTTTGAAATTGTAAGAGATTATGAAAGAGTTTATAGCAGAGAGTGAGACGATTGTGGATGCGAGAGAAGTGTGTAATGCTCTGTATTTATAGGTAAAAAAATTTCATAGAGTAAGTGAGGTGGTAGGTGGGTGCATGCATGCATGATAAGTGTCACTCCTGTAATGTAGGTGCAGGCTACGTGGCAGCCTTGGAGAAGGCATCCCTGGCATGCATGTAATACGATTGGACATGAAGGGAGGCGCCATTGGACTTGGCGAAAGAGTACAAAAATGAAAGGTGTCACCATCCCTGTTGGCGAATAAGAGGTGGCATGGGTTGCTGTGTAGGCGCAGGCTAGGTGACAGCCTTAGAGAAGGCATCTCTGAATGCATGTAACACTATTGGACATGATGGGAGGCACCTTAGAGGTTGCAGTGTAGGTGCAGTGTAGGTGCAGGCTAGGTGACAGCCTTGGAGAAGGCATCTCTGCATGCATGTAACACGATTGGACATGAAGGTAGGCGTCATTGGACTTGGCGAAAGAGTACAAAAATGAAAGGTGTCGCTATCCCTGTTGGCGAATAAGAGGTGGCATGGGTTGCGGTGTAGGTGCATGCTAGGTGACAGCCTTGGAGAAGGCATCTCTGAATGCATGTAACGCTATTGGACGTGATGGGAGGTGCCTTATAGGTTGTAGTGTAGGTGCAGTGTATGCGCAGGGTAGGTGGCAGCCTTAGAGAAGGCATCTCTGCATGCATGTAACACGATTGGACATGAAGGGAGGCGTCATTGGACTTGGCGAAAGAGTATAAAAATGAAAGGTGTCGCCATCCCTGTTGGCGAATAAGAGGTGGAATAGGTTGCAGTGTAGGCGCAGGCTAGGTGACAGCCTTGGAGAAGGAATCTTTGAATGCATGTAACACTATTGGACGTGATGGGAGGCGCCTTAGAGGTTGCAGTGTAGGCTCAGGCTAGGTGGCAGCCTTGGAGAAGGCATATCTGGATGCATGTTGGTTAATTCAAATTCAGTACAACCTATTTAATCTTACATTTATCAAAACACTCATACACTTAATCTCTCAAACACTAGAACATTCAAAAATTCCAGCAATTAACTCATAAACTTCAAACCTTCGAACCTTCAAACTTTCAAACAGTCATACACAATGGCCTCTGCACCACAATATATGATCAATTCACATTTCAACGGTGAGACATACATTTTTCCCACCTCTGGGATTTTGTTTAGAGACACTGAGAACATTCGATTTTGTTTAAATAGGAAAGCCAATTTCTTGTACTTCAAAAAACGATTGGAGGTCAAAATTAGACGAGGCCCCGTGACACAAATATTTTATTAGAATCCAGTTTTTTTTGGTAACAACCAAATAATATTTTATAAGTTTGAGGTTCAAGATGACGAGGATCTTCAGAATATGTTTTCCAGTCATGAGTATTCTGGGTACGACTCTATTGAGTTGTACATTATGCTGCGAGAGCCTCAGCTGTCACAAGTGGTTGATCCTTTAGAGACCGAACAAGCAGAAGTAGATGTAGTTGATGAAGAAGAAGAAGATGACGAGTTGGAGTTTGACGAAATGGTCAATGATGATTCCGAAGACGATGGGGTACTTGGTATTCCTGTAAACGAGATCTAGACACCACCTCCGCACATGACAAACTTTAACATGGGTGGAGATGAACCGTCTTCTGATTTATTTATCAATTCGTATATGCAGTCAGATGAAAACTTA